CAAAAATTAAAAAACGTGCTGTTAAATCCTTATTTAAATCAGATTTATTATTCATTTTTTTCATAGGTAAAATACTTACTTATTATTTAAGTAAATATTTTACCAGAGGATTATTCATCCTATATGATGATCTAAGCATGAGCATCATCAACTGGTAACAGTTTTTGGATGTGTTCATTAATAGCAGTCATTCTTCAATGGGAGTGCGCTGCTGTTTGTAGGCATTTAGAAACAATGGTGAAAAAAAGATGGTGGCATCTGCACTATTGATAGTATCATGATGGAGGAATCTATAATTCTAAAATGAGCTTTTAGAGGCAAAAGAAGGGTCCCAATTGTAAAATTTAACCATTAAATGGATTATTGTTGAAAGAGCATTCAAAGTAGCCACGAAAACAATTAGAATGCTCACGTGGAGTTACGCGGAAGTATAAAAGAATGCACCCTTTATTATATTTCATGTTGTATGAGGGTTTTACCCAATTCCCAAACTGTGTTAGAGTGAACCCATACTATAAAACCACCATGTTATATGGGGGATGTTCCCAATTCTCAAACCGTGTTAGAGTGAATCCATGCTATAGAAGTGCCGTATTATACGGGAGTTACCTGTACTTTGAAAATAATGATGTTGTAAGAACATTGGCAATGTTATAAATTTGTATTCTATTTAGACATTTCATTTCAGACTGTTGAAACCTGAAGTAGGCCACTTACTATAGCTGAAAATATTTGTTTCATTAAATTTTATTAAACTGTTTTGCTGGAAATAGTGTGGAAGGTGTGACCTATTTACTGCAAGTGAAATCTTACTGTGTGCCCATATGGACAGATATAATTTTCTTAAAAATTTTCTACAGTAAAACAATTTTTCAAATTTTATATCTTTCAAATTTATTTTATATTTTAATTATACATATAAAAAACTTAACCTATAAAGAAAACACAAATTAAAGTAAACTTTTAACTGAATTAATTAATGCATTTTTAATCACGAGTGAAGTTTAAATAATGCTAACATTTTCAATGGGCATCTTTGAGTGTGAAGTTAAAAGTGGAATGCCATTGTCAGGAAGATGTGATAGATCCTGATAGAGTAAACAATCAAAGAAGGTGGGGTATAGTAGCAGCAGTGCAGAATATGTCCAATTATTCAAGCAATGTTTGGGAAAAATTAAACATTCCAGAAAAATTTGCATTATGAAATTAAGATTATGGCAATAATTATAAAAACATTACAATAAAATTTAGTAGTGCCTTGACTAAGCCTGTAGACATTAATTGGGGAACTGAACTGAAACGTATACATTGTTTCTAATCAGTTCAGTCACTCATTACTTCACTGCCTACTTACACATTTATGTGATTACAGAAAGGACAAGTCGTGCTCCATTACTAAACCACAGTTTTGATTTTTATGAAAAATCAAAAATGAAACAGAAAGAACTGAAAAAGAAAATTTGTTTTTATTTCAAAATTCTTTTTGGCACTATTTTATGAATGAAATTTTGTGTCCACTCAAATTAAAACAAAATATTCACTCATTCCCTGCATGAAAAATTTGCAAAGTAATAGACTGCATTTAAATTTCTTTTAAATGCAGTTTATTACTTTTTAGAAATTTAAAACAATCAAGAAACTAAGACTGCATTTACAAACTTTTCCTGAATTGTCTCAATTAGACAAACAGAAGCTTATCATCATCTTATAAACATTATTTTCGTTTATTTTTCATATCTTTTTGTAAATGTATTATAAAATAAAATATATTTTAAAACTTCATAAAAATATGGTCACATTTTCAAAAATGAATAAATAATAATAATGAAAAAAAATCAGACAAAAACTGAAAAAGTTTATCTTTTTGCAAAAAATTAGTGTATTTCTTAAGTCACTTTTCAGAAAGAAATTGTATAATCATTATTATAAATAAATTGTTTTCAACATCAAAAAGCCCATTAATTGTTGTCCTGTGCTAAAATTGGTCATATATGATATTGGTGATGACCACAATTTTACTTTTATTAATCAACTTATTACATCAATTTTATAATTGTACATGCTATCCTGTGATGATGATACATTCTTATATTAAAGTGTTCTTTTAATCAAAAATTTTTCACATTGATTTATGTTTTGTGCTGGGCAGCAAATTATATAGTCAGCCTATTTAATAATTTGTATGGTTTAATTTGAATTTTCCAAATTATGTAATAACAATTATTAAACCATTCATAAATTGTTGTTTTATTTTATTTTGTGTGCTATTGAGAAATAATTTTCAGAGAAACTTTGTGTATATTTGGGAAAACTTTTGCTGAAAATATTCTGCATCTCTGAAAGGGAGTCCTTGTTGTGCTGCTTATGTGTGTCTGTAATGGAGTAGTTATTAATTTCATAATTCCTTAACACATTTGAATGGAGGGGTGAGGAACAATTCTAATGGTTCTGGCCACTTGCCAATCTACCTCTGTACAAGAAAGCTGTAATGAACGATCACCTTTTAATATCTTTATGCTTGGTGAGCCTCTGATGCAGGGATCTTTAGGTGTATTTTAGGTATATCTGACATACACTGTATTGATGCCAGTCTTCTTGTTTATGGTCAAGATGATGTACACTCAACTGTTCTTTTTGTCATCCATGTCATTTGTCTTTCACATCAACCACCACTCCCATAGTCCACTTACCCTAATTGTTTATTCTATCAAAGTCTATCTCATCAGCCATCTTTCTGACATCAATATTCCATTTTCAACTGTTCATACCTGAAGATGGCCCATTAATTGAGCTGAAAATATTAAGCGTTATTGAAACTTCATCCACTGTTAAAGATGCATTAATTCAGCTGAGTAATCATTGCAGAGAGTTCAACTTTCAATTTTAAACATTTTCAGAATTGTTAGGTTTTGTCTTCAAGAGAGAGAGAATATAACAAAAGACATAACAAACTTATGATTATTGATTTACTATGTAAGAGTTTGATGCTATTTTATACTTACTGTCCATCCAGCAGGACATTGGCATTTCCCAGTGACATGATCACATGTTCCATTATTTTGACAATTACATTTATTTGCACAATGAGAACCATGAGTTCCTTCGGGACACTTTTCTGTACATCTATAATTATAATAATATTAAAACCTATCATATACAGTTCATTATTAAAATTTAATTATCATATACTTACAGTGGTCCTCGATAACCAGGAGCACATTTACATTCTCCAGATATATGATTACATTCAGCACCATTTTCACATCTACAATCCTGTTCACAATTATAACCATACTTTCCATTGTCACAAGTTTCTGCACAATTCCATCCTTTCCAACCTGAAGTGTATTTAAAACTGATTTTTAATTTCAAAACAGTTAATATTTGCTTACATAAAAAATATAAAAACAGATTTTTGCATAAAACTTCCAAAATTTTAATTTATTTGAAGAAGGTCATTTAATATGACCAAGAACATTAACATTAAATAAAATTTGCTGAAAAGACATTTCTATCTAAATCTTTTACTTTTATTGTTCATTATAAGGTAAATAAATAGTGTAAAGAAATTCCATAGTACATGCTTAAATTTAACAATATCAAAAGAAAATTTAACATGAAAAACTTAAAACACCCTATTCATGCATGGCATCATAATTAAATTACTAGGAAGACATGCTAAATTCAGAAGCCAAAGCAAACTTTTTTTATTTAGAAACATTTTCATTCTCTTAAAATAAGCAATTCAAAAAGCTTTCCAGCTGAGGATGGTTTTTAAGAGAATAAAAATGTTCCTAAATAAAAAAAAATTTGTTTTGGCTCTTGAATTTAACATTTCTTCCTATTAATTACTTAATTGTTATAGAAATTCAATTTATCATATTCCTACATAATAAATTATAAAAAAATTAATATAATGACATATTACCTGGTTTGCAACTGCAAGAACCAGTTACTGGATCACAAAAGGCTCCATTTTGACATGGACATTTTTTTTCACACTTTGAACCCCACATTCCTTCTGGACAAGCTATTTCAAATATAGTCATTTATATTTTTGTTTAAATAAAACAAAAAAAATAATTATAAACTTTTAGAAATTGATAACTTTTGTTAATAAAACATTAGATTTAAGTAATTATTGAATACTTACTATGTTTCACTTGGATAAGCACAATAAGTTATAATTTCAATGAATTATACATAGATGACTTATATTAAATAAACTCTGTAAATGATTTTATAAACATTACTTACACACATTACACGTTGGACCACCCCATCCAGGTTGACATTTACATTCTTCAGGACCAACACAGACACCATGTAGACAGTCATTACTACAAAATGCTGTTTTCAAACATTAATACAAAAACTTTTATTAAAATGTGAATTAGTATTTCTAAATGTTATTACTAATTTGATTTACAGAAAAGCTCTTTTATCCAGTTTAAAATTTATGAAAATTTATTTTTTTTATTTAATATAAATAGAATACAAAACAATGTTTATGTTACACATTTATGTGATTACAGAAAGGACAAGTCGTGCTCCATTACTAAACCACAGTTTTGATTTTTATGAAAAATCAAAAATGAAACAGAAAGAACTGAAAAAGAAAATTTGTTTTTATTTCAAAATTCTTTTTGGCACTATTTTATGAATGAAATTTTGTGTCCACTCAAATTAAAACAAAATATTCACTCATTCCCTGCATGAAAAATTTGCAAAGTAATAGACTGCATTTAAATTTCTTTTAAATGCAGTTTATTACTTTTTAGAAATTTAAAACACAATTACATCAAGAAACTAAGACTGCATTTACAAACTTTTCCTGAATTGTCTCAATTAGACAAACAGAAGCTTATCATCATCTTATAAACATTATTTTCGTTTATTTTTCATATCTTTTTGTAAATGTATTATAAAATAAAATATATTTTAAAACTTCATNTCCTGTTACATAGTAAAAAGCATCAATAATTTAATATTTGCCTATGATATTAACTAACTTTTAATTAATTTTAATAATATTACAGTAAGTTTGAAAATGTAAACTGCATATTTTCATATTCTTAGCAGAGATAAGTGATACCACACAAACACATCAGCATATCAAAATGTTTCCAATATATTGGAATTAGTTTGTTTTACAAACAGATGATCTAACCTTTTTTTCAATATCCATTCTTCACACTATTTTACCATAACAAGCATTTCAACATGGTAGTAGTTGTTTTGTGTTGTAAAAATTTACCACCAATGGCCATGTGAAATAGGGTTTTTGGCAGTTTTAGAGGGTGCCAACTTGGTATGGTATGCTGTGTAGCAATGAATGAGCAACATGTGAGCAGTGTTTGCAGATATGGTTATTTATTGCCAGATTTGGTGATATTTCAAGCCAGCTGGCAGTTTGGCAATGATTTTTTTAATTTGGCAATTTTTCTCCACTATTACAAATTTATTCTAAATGTGTTCAACTTTCTTCCAAAAGAAGCTGAAGTAGGCATAAGCAAACTAGAAAGTTACAATTGCTTAATATTCAGACCTGAAAAAAGCTCAAATTGATTTGTAAACTTTTATTTCTTTATATTTGAACTTAAATGATAAATGACCAAACTAAATATTCTACAAACCAATGAGCTTTCAGGCTTTCATTTATTACAAATATCTGTAGAATATGGATAAAAGCAAATATTGTATTGTATTGGTTGGAAAAATTATTTATATTAAATCATATCAACAGAGTTTAGCATCTTATCATTTCTAAAAACAATCTTCTTCTTGTATCTACTTTTAGAAGCTAGTAATAAGATTAAAATTTAAGTTTTAAAAGTGTTTTCTAGTGTTGCTTCCTAGAGAAATTGTTTCATTGTATATATTTAATTAATACTAGCAGACTCTGCCACGCATTGTTGTGGCTCAAAATGTATCTATTATAAATGTATAACACTTTCCCCGTGGGGGAATTTTTCGAAAAATCCCTTCTTAGTGTACATTCTCTTGACATACTCTATTAAAATACAATCAAAAATGCAAAAAACTGCATATAAAATAGTATAAATAGAAGCAGAGTTCTTTACGGTAAGCCTTAATCCTAACCATCTCCCCCCCAGTGGGGGGAATTTCGATACGTACATTATATAAAAACATGTCCGTATTCAAATGCAGTGTTGTGTCAAAATTTTAAAAGAATCGGAAGGAACAAACTAACATTACATTTTTATTTATATAGATAGATAGAAGATGATCTGCTTTAGTTCATCCTCACTGAAAAGCAAACTTCAATCGTCGTACTCGTAGCGCCATCTGTTGGACATTAAAAGCCTTAACCTAGATGATATCTTTTAATTTATATGAATGTTTACCAGAATAATATACAGCCTATGTCCACCCTAAAGTTCTATCCTAAATATTGATGAAAGAATTTTTGAAATAGGATGAATAGTTTCGGAGATTACCCGCTACATCCAAACTTACAAACATTACCTCTTTATAATATTAGTATAGATTGATAACATTTATAATTGAAGAGAGATTCATATGGCTGATACACACAAGACTGCAACTAAAAACATTTTACTTTTGTTCTTTACAGTCACAAATGGGTAATTCACTAGATAGTAAATAATTTTTCTTTCCTGTTAGCAGGTGTTAATTGCTAACATTTGTGTTTGGACACAACAATAACAAAGTTACTTATATGACTTTCTTCACATGCTGACATTCCAAGTCATTAACTGAATATAAATTTTAATTTACTAACTTTGGTGACTTGTATGACTACTTTTTGGTGTTAAAAAATAACTACCTTGACTTTCATCCTTGTTAATTTTATTTAATTGTAAGTAAACCAAGTAGTTTTGTTACTTTTATAATCATAAAAATTAACTTAAGAAGGCCAGATATGATAATTGTTAATAAATTCCTGAGTAAAGTACTGTACCATATCTGTTAGGTTTTAGATAAGTGATTACAGAATCAATAATGGTTATCAATACTACTAGAAAATCTAAAAATATATAAAAGTAATATAAGTTTTAAACAGATGTTTCATAATAGCAAAGGCATTTTTTTGGATATTAAAAAATTCCAACAAAAACATTTTATTATTTATAAAGAAAATAAAAATATTTAGCTCTCATGTATTAAAATGTATTTCAATAATTACATCAATATATAAATATTTATAGTATTGAAAATTAAAAAATAAAAATTTATTAGTACTTTTAAATGTTTTACTGTCATTTTTGTCAAAAAATATAATCTTTCTATATTTTAAAGATAATTTATATCATCTTTACATTTATTAAAAAATTTAGTTTATCCATTTATTTAATAATATTAAAAATAACTAGATCATATTGAAAGTTAACTAAATAAAATATAATAATTCTTATCAATAGTTAAATAATTTACAACAGTATAAAAAATTTATTTAAATTTTATATAAAAAAAGAACAAATAAAAAATAAATTAAGATAAATATGTTTGTATTATATAACTTATAAAAAACTTACGAATGCATTTCTGCTTATCTGCATTTTCAATATATCCTTTACAACAAATATTTACAGTCCTTGTATTTGCTTTTGCCTCAATTTTATAACCAACACTGTAGGCAATTCTAAATTGACAATTTGAAAAACAAATATACAAATATTTTTAAATTTGGGAAAAACTCTCATTTAAACTATCCTAAAATTTCTGTACGCAACTAATAATGTCAAGTCTGTTACTAGAATAATTTACCTGTATCTTGAGCAGCGAGGTGGAAATGCAAAACACCATGTGAATGTACGAACTTGATATGGTTTGTTGTAAGAGACCCTCATTGTTGTAAGATACCTGAAAGAAATATTAATTTTTATTTTCTGAAATATATATCTCAATTGAATAATTCAGAAAAATTTTTCTGTTCTTAAATTTCAAATATATAATATATATACATATATCATATATGAGAAATTTTACCAATAACATTCTTTATCAATTATAAGAAATATTTTTAATAAAAGATAATCAAGTTTTTAGCATATAAGATAGGGAAAGAATGTGATTAGTATTTGTTTAGATTTAATTTGATATGTGAAAAAATAATGCAGAAATAGCATTATCAATAATATATAAATAAGGACATGTGTTTGTTTGTTCACTATGCACTCCCAGGCCATTCAACCAACTGCTATAAAACTCAGCAGTTACATTAACATACTTCTAACTTAGATAATTTTGTACATATCACCCAAAAATATTGATTTATAGTGGATCCTCACTTAATGAGCAGTTCTCATAATGAGTAATTTGCATAACGAGCAAGGCAAATTGTAAAAAAATGAATCGCTTAACAAGCAACATTTCACATAATGAGTGACGAGGAGAGGAGAAGTACCGAATTGTGCGCATGCTACATCAGTCTGTGTTTGGCACTCATTCCGCTAGCATCTTAGTGTCACTTATGATAATGCATTTTTCCAAACTTGTGTTCAGACATATTACATATAAACATCAACAATCAAAGCCCATTATATAATAAACTTGCCAAACAATATGCCAAATTCTTGGGCTATGTAAAGGCTATAATTAAATATTATAAATTTTGATTTGCTTTTGTTTTCTGCAAATTGAATTTGCATTCTAGGTTGGTTCATTCCACACTATAAGAAAAGATAATGATGATTCACACTCCTTAACAATATATATTGTATAATTTTCTTTGAATAAATGTTATACATAAAATATTTGAGTATTTTTTTCAGCATGGAACGTGTTATCATATTTTACATTAATTTATATGGGAAAAATTGTTTCACTTAACAAGTAACATTCTGGAACGAATTACGCTCATTAAATGAGGTTCCATTGTAATTTCTTTATATGTATTAATTAATTTCGGTCTACATTTCATTTGGTGATTTTACACATAGTGTCATCTATTGGCAAAATTTAAAAAACATAATAAACTAAATATAATTCATACAAAAAAGGATTTAATTAAAAAAATATATATATTATATTCACTTAATTACTGTTACAATGATATAGCATGAAGTAGATGCAATATATCATTACTGCAGCTGGTAGCACAGAATACTCACATGTGTCTAGTTGAAAGTGTTATACCCCGTTCGCACACAATCCACGACTCACTTCGATCTCGATTTACCCACAATCTGGATTGTGACTGTCGCCAGTGGAACGTCGTGCTGTTCGCACAGGTAACTCGCTTGAGAAGAACCTGGCTATTACACGCGATGATAAAATTGACATAACTACGCGGTAAGTCACGAACACCAACAAACAAAATGGAAGTTTTGGTTAGANAAATTTCCTATAATTTCTAATAAATAGATAATTAAAATTCTTAAAAAGTCTTATTTATTTTTCAGTTTATTATAATTAAACATTTAAAATAAGGTATCTGATCTAAGAAAAGCAATTAACATCAAGTCTTAATTTTCATTTAACAGTATCTTTAAAAACCTGTCCAATATCCTGCTATTTCTAAGTAAAAATAATTTGAACCAAATATGGACAATTATACATACATATTTGATTTAAATAACATTTAATTTTAAATGAAGTAACCTGGTGTTATGTACAGTACATATAATTTTGTTTATGAATATATATTTTTTACCACAATATGCATAAGTTTATTTATTATAACAATTAAAACTTGTATAATCAATTTAAAGAGGTTTTAATTTTGACATGTACACTTATTGTTCTTTGGACTTCTTTTGAAAATAATTTATTTAATAACCTTCAAAAATTTTCACGGCACACAGGTTGAAAATTGCTGCTCTAGGGTCAAATTCTTCAGTAATTTATAATTATAATAGCCATTATTTAGCTTGATGCCATACGGTAGTTGTTATAGCTCCATAAATCATAATAAATTCATTTATCTTTCAATTTAACCTTCTTGTATTTTGAATATATTTGCAAAATGTTTACTTAAAACAATAATACAGTGGTACCTCAGGTTATGAACGCCCCAGCATACGAAATTTTCAGGATACGACATGAAATTTGAACATATTTTTGCTCCACGATACGAACAAAAACTCACCATACAACGTTACATTAGTTCGCATTTTTCATTTGTTTTTCTTACTACAGTTATTTTTTTTAATGTATTACTTGGCTTTAATTTGAGTATGCTTTTCGCGTTGGAATGAATTATTTGGTTTTACATGTAATCGTATGGGAAAAGATGATCCACCTTATGACATTTTCATGATACGATCTCAGTTTCGGAACGGATTAATTTCGTATCCTGAGGTACCACTGTATATATTAATATAAACTGAACAAGGCAACTTAAGCAGCTGTCTTCACTACAACTAAATTAACTCAGCTAGAAACTTATGAATTATGGATGCTAACAAATAGTTAGTTTAACTATCACACAGAAAACTGAGATGATGAAAGACATCAAACTTATTCTCACAATAATCATTACTTTCCATTATCACCACAGATGTCACAGTATTATCTGTTACTACTCTTTGTTATATATAAAGGAATCCATCTGATTCAATTACTTCATTATCTTACTTTTTGATTTATTTTGGAACTAATAAACCATAAAAAGTTAATTTTTGAATTACTCAAAAAATATTTTATTAAAGAATTCAGCATAAATACAAAATTTCAAATACAGTAAACTCTCACTAACTTGGACTAATAGGAAGTGGAGGTTGTCCATGTTTACAAAAGAGTTAGCAGGGTGTTTTTTTTTTTGTGATGTGGAAAAAAATGTCGATATACAGTAAAGTAATTTATTATGATCAGCTCTATACACAGAAGTTTTACTGTACTTTAGTAGATTCTACCGCTAAATTTATTATTGCAGGAAATAAGATCAAAAAGTTTCATGATCATACAGTATACAGNTTACACTGTGAAAACCAGGAGGAGAAAGTTGGAGTCAATTTTAAAAAATACCAACTAAGGAGTAAGAGTCATGTATTTTTCCCCATTCCTGGTGAAAACTACAAAAGTATTTGATTTTCCCATTTTAACAACTTGGGTTTTTTTCATTTCTAAATTGTATTTTCTTAATTCTAATAATTTTTCTATAAACTCACTATTTACAAGGAGTTCCTATGTAGTTTATAGCCATTCTGACAATGTTCTTAAAATAAATTTTACCATATACATCATATACACTATATATTACCATATACCATATACTTTTGAAATTTACAATTAATAATGTCAGATGTAACACACTAGTTATTTCATATTATTTTGTTGCTTTATTTTTGAAATTTGAGTAATTCATTTTGGCATGGAGTTTATTAATTCACAAATGACTTATAAGTACAGTAAGACCCTGCTTAACACAGGGAATGTGTTCCTAGACAACAAAGCGCTATGCGAAACAGCATTAAACTAGGTCATTTTAACAGAGTAAATAGGGATAGATGAACACATGTCCAAAAATAAACAGATTTTACTTTAATTTTAAGTTATTTTTATATTAATTTGCATAATAATAATATATGTTAAATAACACAAACATATGCACACAAAAATGTAAAGTTTATTTTTGTGATGATGGTCCTGACCTTTCTGAAATTCTTGTTTTTATGCAATAAAATCATGAAGTTTCATTTGTCGCTTTTTTCTTTCCTTAAGCAAATGTTGGTAGCAGAGGATTGCATCCAAAACTCTTCGTTTTGCTTTTGCACTCCTTTCAAAATCCGGATCATTCACTAGAATTTTATCAAAAATTTTGGTTATTGTTACCAAACTTTTACTAAGGAAATTTGTAGAGAAATTTTTTGAGTTCTTTGTTTTCAGAATCTCTATTTTCCAGTTCTACATGAATTCCTTGTTCTGCCAGTTCTTGAAAGTGGTTGTTGGTAATGCTCTCACCAGAAATCTGCAGTAACTCCTCAATATTCATCTCCTAGTTCTGTTGTATTGATTAGGATGACAATTTGGTCAACCTAACGATACAAGAATAAGCTCTTCGCGTTGAGAATTCTTGGAACTTCTTCCATACACTGTTCACACATTTATCAGTTAATTCTTGCCAAGCAAAGTCAATATTTTTTATGGCATCCATGATCTTATATATTTTGAAAATTGCACCAAACAAACATAGATTTAATGATTTGTTAATGCCTCTACAAGAGTGTGAAAGGACTGAAGAATTTGGACTTATCTGTATGTTTAGTTTAAAAAGAAATAGATTTAAAGAAAGTACACCTTTTTGTCATCTTTTGCTGATTGATTTGTGTTCATAAATAATCACATTATGTATAAATCAATGAAATGTTGCGATAATTAAAACCAGTGTAAATTTTTGAGTTTTTTTTCAGGCTTTGAGCAGACTGTGTTATATTGAATCAGCGTTAAGCGAGGCAGCATTAAATGGGGTCTTACTGTATTGTTAAACCATGCTTTCACAATTTCCAGCAAATCACATTTGTTTAATATGATAAATTACAGTAAGAATTTATAATTCAGTTGTTATAAACCCTTAATAAAAGAGAAAAATGTAAAACAGATCATAAAATTGGCTGAAAGTTTTCTTAAAAAATGTTGATGTATCAGTATTAATTTTAATATGTAAGTAACAAATTTTATATACAATGAAATCCTGATAACTCAACACCTCACAGGAAAAGCCAAACTTGTTGAGTTATCAAAGTTTTGGAAAATTTTAAATTTTATCAATTGGTGGTGTCATTAAATACAGTACTGTGTATGCAATCTATCACACTTTTTTTATGCTATTTGACTTTTATCTTATTACATAATTATGACAGAAAGTCACGTAACAGTTCAGCACATAAAATAATAGTGTAATTAACGAACTGCCCAATTAATAAAAACTT